ACAGCCGCTGCGCCGCTGAAGCACTTTCGTTACAGCCGCTGCGCCGCCGATGGCATTCGAAATTTTAAAATTTTCGAGCCGCCGCCAGCTGTCAACTTTAGAACTTTACAGCCGCGCCGCCGAACATTTTAAAAAAAATTTTAAACTTTGACGCCGCCGCCGATGACCTTACCGGCTTACACCTCTAATTGTAAGCATTTATCTCTAATCAGATTCCAATTCTGCCCGAAACATTTTTAGTGTATATTGGAATTCTGATTTTGCCTACAACATATATATTATTGCAATTGATTTTATACGAGAACATAAATAAGCACATCAAATCAAAGTTTTTGGTAAAGAAAAATATAGCTACAACTTCAGCACGCACCATTTTTGATTTCTACTCACTTTGAGTACGAAAACGTGTTAGCTCCATCAAGTCATCATGGCAAACATTTTATTGTGTATAACCTTTTCTTCGATAATTTACACGTACAAAAACAATGCTTATAGTAGCTACTGCTAAAATTGCTGATATCAATAAGAAAATAAGACTGGACGTAAATGAACCTGTTTGATCTTTGAATAAACCCACAAAAAAATGGACCAGTACTTTCGCCTATGTCACCGAACACACTAATAATACCGATGGACTCTGAAGCAATGACTTCTTGTGTTGTTAGCGATGTACATAATATCCACCATAGTGAATAAGAACTTTTGAGGCTCGATGATATTATTACGAAGGAGACTGTTGCGATGATTAGTGACTTCTGTCCCAATATCAGGATTGCAAGTGCTATGATAGTGATAAGAAGAGGTATAACTGTGTGAAAAAATCTTTCATTGAAATAGTCCGATGACCAACCAACACATGGTATCAAGACGATAGTAATGAATCCTGGTATTGTTAATAACCAAGTCAGAGTATTATCGCTCAGATGATACCAATCATCTAACATCGTCGGTATGAAAAAATCAAACCCATACTCGACGTTCATCATCAAAGTTCGGGCAATACATAACAATAATACTTCAATATGACAAAGATTCTGACATATGGTCGAAGAGGCTTCACTTGTTTTAGTTTCAGCAGCTAATTCAGTATGAAGTGCATCGTGTTCATCCTTAGTAAGCCAAGTGGCTTCACTCGGTCGATCTGTAAACATGTAATACAGTGGAATACTCAATAGAATGGATATTATACCCCACACAATAAACCTATTTCAAAAACAGAAACGTATGTTCGTTGCATATAACCAATAATGATACTTACAGCCATTGCCATCCTCTAAGATTGAATAATGTGGGATAGTGAATTCCATTTTCAGTTGTTCCCATTCGTATGAATAGATAAGAAATTTTTGGACCAATGGAATATGCAATCGGTACTGCCATAAAAATAATGCTGAGTGCGATTCCACGGTTTCTCAAGGGTAGCCAATAACTAAGATAGATAAGAATGCCAGTAAAAAAACCTGATCCAGCAACACCGAGAAGAAACCGTTGCAAATATATTTGCCAGACCTCTGTTATAAATGCTGTCAGTATAGCTATGAAACCGTGTACAATCGATAAGAGAGAAAACCATTTATAAGCACTCCATTTTTCTACGACTGCAATACTTGGAATTTGAAGAGTTAAAATACCCACAGAGTACAATGCTTGACTTAGACCAAAAATCGTTTCAGTATTGTTGCTGTGTCGAAATGCTGACAGATCTTGCGCCATCTTGAGTTTAGCCAGCGATAGACAGGATTGATCACTCCATAGAGCAGTAAATAGTATTAAACCTATTGGGAGATAACGCCAATAAATCTTACGGATAGCTCGATCCAATGGTGATCTCGTCATTGTTATGTCGAAGAAAACAATCAAGTTTAGATTAATTCGATAGTTTCTAAAATAAAGAATGAAAGATTTAGAAAACTCCAAGTTTATATAATTATACTGATTCTGGCGATCGGTACAGTATCGTTACAACATATTATCCCTATGCCTTATAATAATTGTCAATAAAAGATATCGCTCTCGTTTCTTTGTAAGGTTACAAATAACCTAATGTAATCACTGTATAAATACCATCTTGAAGATGTGGGTGTGGGTGTAGATATCAGAGACACAACACATCCGCACCCACACCCTACTAGAGTAATTTTAAATAACGCAACAAAAGCGAATTATATTTTTAGAAACTGACACCTGATAATAATCGTTACTGCCGTTGTTGTAATATCAGTCACATTATGCATAGATGCATTTAAAAATTGATCTGATACGAAATGGTTTATATATAACTCAAGTTGATGAAAACGTAACGAACGAAAAATAAATGAAAAATTTATGCAGTATACTCCTCATTATTGAGACGCGTTATTTGCACGTGGCTATAAAGGATTAAGAGACAAAAAAGAAAAGAAATCGATGAAGCATTAAACACCTATTAGATTCTTTTTGCATCTGTTGCAGTGATGTCGCACTCATACATAATCTTTCTTTCATCTTTACTATATTTAGATTTTTTTTCATTGAATAAAATTAGAAAAGATCGTGTGTATGTATACACAAATACATTTATAACTATATGCATAGTAGAAGAAAAGAAGAAATACGAATACTAACAGCGTCTCATGTGAATATTTTTTGTTATTTTTATAAAATTACCCAGTTCGGTCATTTAGACCATTCGAAATGCATCGTTTTCAGACGTTTACAACTCTTTTGACAAAGTTCTTTTACTCTTTTCTAGCGCCATTACATACTGATTCTCATTCGCATAGCGTATTGCTTTCTGATATTTATTGTTCAGTTCTATATCGAGATTGTTCTAAAATTTAGTAAACTAGAAAAACAAGACAATGAAACGCTTTAATTTATTTTATAACACACAAACAACGATTTTGTCGAATAGACAGAATGAGGTTCTTGATGACATGGATGTGGATGCGAATGGAAGTATGAGTCTTGTTATTCCTTACCCATATCCACACCTATATTTTCTTTAAAACGAGATCTCTTCATTCAGAAATGGATAAAAAAAAAGAAATTCCTTCGTGATTACACGTTTGCTCTTTTCGGTACGCATTTAAACAGTTAAAAGAAGGTTTTTTTAAGAGTTTACACACGTTTTTGTAAAACCTTGTCTGCTTGGGTACTACAATTCAATATCACTGAAAAGTTTTCCTTATCATTGAAACATATTTCAAAAGTAAGAAATCGAAAAGTAGTGATATCGCTCTGAATTGATTTTTGTTAAATAAAATCAGTCTATAGTATATTATCAAGATCTTTCAGCAGTGGTCCTATTCCAAGATATTCGACAATTTTCAAATTCCTCCTATCGAAATAGTGAAGCTAATGACTTCCAGACTAAATTTACCAAAATTAGCGCAGATGCTAAACATCATATGCAAATGTAGGTATTCAAATATGTATTGTTTTGGAGATATCGAAATACAAAAACAAGCATTCAGTGAATGCATCACTGAGCCATGATGTGAGGATAATCTTCATACACTTGAACAGACTCAGGTAGAACCTTGTTAGTCTCGAAATTTGATCAATTCTCATGAATCCTATGACTGCGAAAAGATAGCAGTTATTGAAATCATCGAGAACATCTTATATTTATGGATGAAAAAGATGGCTAAACAGTTCTAATGTTCGAGATACTTTCATATTTCTCTGGTGAAGAATTGTTCTTTCATGAACTTGACTTTGAACGTCTTCCATGTCTTCTGCCATATTTTTTATGTTTACCGTGGCAATGATCACGATAACGATCTCTCTCCGGAGAACATCGGCAAACATGTTTGTTATTATTACGCTTCTTATTCTTATCTCGTCTGTTGTCATTGTCACAGGCATGATCTTTCTCTTTATTTCATCTTTTTTCGATGATATATTTGTAGTGATTTCCATGCTTGTTTACCGATAATTTGATCATTCTTGCCAAACTTTCTTTAGAACCGCTATTCGATGTCATTCGATCTCTCTTTTCAAAATAATAAAACCAACAAATGAGGAGAGTAATATTCTATATTCATTGCTTCGTTATTCTCGATTGGATTGATATGTTTTTTTTATGTGTGAATAGATTAGAGAAGGAAAGTCTACAGTCTTTATTTGCATGAGAAAACAAGTTACTGTCAACACTGAAAGTTTGAATGAATAAAAAAAGACTGACAATCGCACAGTGTGGGACCTAAAACTATTTTTCAAAAAGTTGATAGTTGACAAAATTGGCAAAAAGTTAAAACAGTTATAACTAGAGTTATAACTATCAACCGCAGTTATAACCTTCAACCAGAGTTATAACTATCAACCGTAGTTATAACTAGCAACTTTTGTCAAATGGGAACCTCCTAAATCCTTTAATCATGTGAAAGATCGATCGGTAATGTTCTCCTGTCTTTCTTCTTTTTTCTTAATGTATATTTTTTTTTGAAACTATGCTTTTTTAAAAGCGACCAGCAAAACAGTTGAACAATTCTTAAAATCCTTGGCGATATATAGTGATCATATAGATATATTATTCTTATAATAAAGAAGAAGAAACAAAAGCTATGTGCCTTTTCAGCACTGAAGATTAATTATTCATACTATTTCAGTTCAAAGTCAGTTCAAGATAGCCATAATTACACGTCAGTGTGGGAGTTAAAATTATTTTTTAAAAAGTTAGTAGTTGACAAAATCGGTAAAAAGTTAAAACAGTTATAACTAGAGTTATAACTATCAACCATAGTTATAACTTTCAACCAGAGTTATAACTACCAACCGCAGTTATGACCTTCAACCTGAGTTATAACCATTAACTGTAGTTATAACTATCAACTGCATCAATTTTGTCTCTAAATACTAGTAAGATTGACAAAACTGATGCGTTTGATGGTTATAACTGTGGTTGATAGTTATAACTCTGGTTAAAGTTATAAGTTACAACTCAATTAACTTTTTGGCCAAAAAGTTGATCGGTTATAACCCAAAAAGTTAAAACCCGAGTTATAACTACCCTAGTTTTAGGTCCCACACTGCAATCGCATAATGATTTTGTGTTATTAAGTTCAAAAAGATTGATGAGCACTAATACAATGTAGAGTCTCGCGTACTAATAAGTAAAAACAACTTCTAAAGAACGTCTTTTTATTTTCGAGCTCAATGAATCTCTTCTTTAGATAAAATAATTAATCCTAACAAGTTTATCAATATTGAACTTCTTTTAAAAACCAGAAAAGACGAGAATTCGAAAATAAAAATCATTAATGAATGCTTTCGTATCAAAGAAATAGTAGACTGTCTCTCAGAATAAATAGTCGAATAAATGAGATATTAAACGCGCGTATCTAATGCCAAATTCGTATCATTATTTTGAATCCAGTGAAGTATCACATAAACGTCTATTCTTAGAAATTGAAATATTGAAAGAATTACAACAAGCTGATCTTCTTCATGATCTCGAATGGAACTCATATGATACAATAGCATTAAATCTTTTTATTCAAGCTGGAATACAAGAAGCTAACGATGAACTTTCTCGACGTTCTGTAAATCATTCATATGATTTTGAACAATTGAATTTTATTGATCATTGTATTCAAAAACATCAAACATCTCCTTCAATAAATGAACAATTTCAACAACAAAAAATTTCGCTACCGCTAATCTTTAATGGGATATTTATCTTTCTATGTCTTTCATTTATTATTGGATTTCTTATTTATGAATTTATTAAATTTAATCATCAACATCCTTTAATTGAATCACTTGATCATTCATTAACAACTAAACGACGTCATTTATCTTTTACAGATGATTTATTACTTATTCTTATAACATTAACTAGTGCTATAATATTAGGTTCTATAATCATCGCAACAAGATTTAGTCGAAAGATCATTCTGTTTGGAATAGTTCTATTAGTAATAACTGTTTCACTTCTAATTATGAAAAGTCATCAAATAATAATATTCTTATTAAAATATCGCGAATTACGATGGCCAGCACTTTATGATTATTTATATTTGTAAGAAAAAAAAATGATTTGTTTATTAATAATTGCAACGTGATGGAAACACATCATTTAAATAATATGTTGAGATGTTTAACACATTTATTATCATAAAACAAAACAATCATTATGAATATAATATTAAAAATCGAGTATACTCTTGCTGAATCATAGTGACATCTTTCCAATGTAAATACACGTGTTATAGGTAGTCAGCGAATAAATAAAAATGCAGATACATGATAGAATATGTACATATATATATACATACATATATGAACATAATATAAACTTTGAAAGATTTTTTTTACATGGCACAAAATATAAATCGAAGTCGAGATGCTTCGGTAGAAAATCTAAATGAACAATTAAAATGTATATCTCGAAATAAACGACAAACCGTATTTACTCGAACAGGTGATGTTGATGATCCACCATTTAGTCGACTTTTTTTACTGATTCCAAAAGCTATGTCAGAAGATGAGTTGCGTAAAGCATTTCTAATACATGGAACTATTCAAGATATTCATATGGTACGAGATCGACGAAATCAAGAAAGCAAAGGTTAGTTATGACAATAACGAGAGTATGATATAGACAAATTTTTGTATGATTTTTCTAATAGGAATTGCTTATATTAAATATGAAAAAGCATCAGCAGCAGCTCGTGCAATGGAAGAAATGAATGGAGTTGTTATTTCACCTCATACACGTCCAGTAAAAGTAAATATACATAGAGAGAGAGAGAGCTTTTGAATTTAATAATTTAACTTATTTTATTTAGACTATTATATCAAGTTCACGTCGTGAAGGTAGTGTTCGTGATCCAGATGAACATGAAAAAATGTTACGTTTATTTGTTGTTATATCAAAACATATGACTAAAGATGATTTACGTAAAGTATTTGAGGTAATAATAATTCAAATATTTATATATTAAAAGAAACAATAGTGAAGAATTTCCTAATTTAGAAATATGGTTCTATTATTCATATTAAAATTATTGTGGATAAATTAACTGGTGAAAATAAAGGATTTGCTTATATTTCATTTTCAAAAGCATCAGAAGCTGCCTATGCTCTAGAAGAATGTGATCCAAGTGAGTACTTTTTTTTTTCTTCGTATATATTATAAAGCACAATAATTCATTGACAATCCTACGAATCATTATAACAAAGAAAAAAATGTTTACATAAAATACACTAGTATAGTTGTTTTTCTAGTAATTCAATCGCAATTTAGAACTAAAGACTTATTATTACCGAATCGGAGTATATTTCAGTCTGAATAAACAATCTTGACTCAGTGTGTTGAATAGAATCAATCCGTCGGGAACTGATATATATATTAATGCTTTCCAACTTTTGTAGAGTGGGAATTTGAGACACACAGCAAAAAAAGATATGAATAATAATTCAATCTGATGAGAAACGACATTCAAAAAGTACTTAAACGTATGATGTTTACTCACATCATAATTTCACTAACTATCAATTATTTTTAATAGTTTACAAACCAAAATTTGCTGAACCATTTTCTTCAAAACGTCATCGTGATGCAGAAGAAACTCTACCATCATCCGCATCAATATATGGAGCATTTTCACCGCCTTATTCTCATAAAATATCAACAAATAAACAACATCTATCACCATCATCAAATTCAACAGATCGTCGATTATCTCCACCACCTTTACTTCCATTTCCATCACGTTCATTATCCTATCCTGATTCAAGTTTGTTTTTTTAATCTTTATTATTGCTGTACATATGAATTTTAACAAAAAATCTATTCCTTATTCAGATCAAACAATAACATCACCAGCTTATCATTTACTTGATAATAATAATGAATGTCGTTTAATTATTCGTGGTAATAAAACAATAACAAAATATCATATATCAAAATTATTTGATCTTGTACCACATATGGAAGAATGTTCATTATTAAATATAAATACATTTAATGAAAGTAAGAAATTCAAGTTAAATAATTTTCCAGATAAAGTTATATTTATCTGTATTGATATAGATTATTATATTGTACGTTATAAATCTTGTCAATTTGCAACATATGCACGTGAAAAATTACATGCATTTCAATATCCTGATGGTGAAATATTATCTGTTCAATATTATGATGAAAAGTATATAGAAAAATTTATGTAGTTTTGTTTATTAATGATGAATTTTTTTGTTATTTAGAATTGTCAATGATTTATTTGAGAAATCACAGAATAGAAAGCATAGTGATACATCAGGAATTGGTCAATTAATACATCAAGTATATCTAAATAACTATTAATTTATCAATATAATAATTGATTTGGTATTTTTTTATTAAGATGAGTAATTTACAAGGTAGTCAAGAACAATACGTGGATTTTTGTAATATTCCGTTACCACCAAAACAAAAATATGCTTCATTTGATACACCTGTAAGTTATTAGAAATGAAAATGTTACATTCATTCGTATTAGAGAGTGGGAAATACAAGTTCCTGTCTACAAACTCATATGTTGAAGATATACAGATAAGCTCCGGACCAGAATAAAACCTTGAACTGTAAAGTGATTTTAGTCTATATCGGAATTATTTCAGAAACGAAAAGATAATAAATCCTAACCTAATCATATTATCGGCGAGTAAATTTAAAATGGCAAGTTTTTTTTAGTTGATCTATGTCATTCACATCAGTTCGATAAGTAAGAAATAGAAAGATACATGTATTACATATATTGAATCACGTTCGTTTGAAGATTATAACAATAACAACGGATGATTTATGGGTACTGAAGTAAATCAGAGCGTGATGTTATGTTGAGGTGCTACTGAGACTTATTTGCTATATAGGTTTTATTAAGTATATGAAATTGATCTTGTTTTCATAATTGACAATAAAATCTTTAGATTGCTAAAACCTTACAAATAATGTCTCAACGTCCAACATCTGAAGATTATATTCGTGATGTATTCAATCGTTTTGGAAATTTAATTGATATTCGTATGGTAAATTCTCGATTATGTTATGTTATGTTCAGTGATGAATGTAGTGCTGATACAGCTATGGAAACAATGAACGGTCAAGAAATAGCATTAGTTCGTATACGTATTATTGAAAGTGATCATGTTGTTGATTCAACAACAGCTTCTATTGTAAATCGTAAACGACAAAAAGTGTGAGTGAAATATAAATAACTATGAAAAAAAAAACACAGACATACATCTTCTCTTGACTTTTCGACTGGACTTAAATGACATTATTTTATTTATACTAACATCCATACAGACATATCTTCTTCTTATTTATTAATTTTCTTTGAACTGAATATATATATATATTCATAATTTGTCTGTATAGTATTTGATTCTATCATATATATATATATATCTGATCGTTTTTTATTTTTTATCATTGTCATCGTGTATTTGTTTATTTTTTATTTGTAAATCGAAACATACCTTTTATTCTGTATTTAGTAACGACTACGTTGAAATATATTAAATGTAAAACATGACTTTTAGACAAATATGACTTTATGACTGAGAAGATGTTTATTTCTTAATTGACGAAGTAAATATAATCATTCTGTCTTTTTCAAGGTATAAATAACAAACGATTTGAATATTTCAATGCTCAAACAATTGTATATCATTCTTTCAAACAAATTCATTGGGCTATGATATCAATAATAAACAAGTAAATACTCATTATTTCTTTAGCAAAACATAGAGGTAGAAAGTCACAGAATTTTGTAAAAGACTTTTCTTCCTATATGTGTTATTGGTTAATTATTAGTATCAATCATACATATCCTTTATGTCATCCACTAATTCATCCTATCATCATTCGCTGTTGAGTCTGTGATAGCATTTTGTTGTTTCTCATCTTCCTTGCCAGCTCCCTACGGACGTGACAGACATTTTATCAATTAATTACTTGATAACTAATTTAGTTATGTTTTTTTTCTCTACTGTATTTCTTGATATTCATTTATCTGTTAGTATTGACTGAAGACACTTTGATTCTCATTGGATAAAGATTTCAAAAAGTAATTATATGAGAATTCTTTGTCATTTTAAATCGAGAAATTTATACTAAAATAAATGAAACGAAGTATTAGATACAAGATTTTATTAAACTTTTAATTTATCTGCTTCCGTGTTTTTAGCAACTGATAGAAGATAAAATTCTCCATCGATTACAATTCATTTTTTACTTAAAATATTCGAAAGCAAATAATTATTTTACTTAACTGTCTTGTTATGTATAATAGAAAACAAAATTTACTTAAACTTGTATGAAAGATGCATTCCATCACAATCTTAGAGAATGTGTATCTTCGGATTTTGTAAATAGTCTATCGTTATTTTTACACATTAATGTCAAAAGCTAGACATCCCTTAATCCCTTTAGTATCAGGATGAAGTACACATCTATTTAATTTTAATTTTCTGCATATAAACGAACTTATTGCTTAGCATGTCCATACTATAGAGTATCTATATATCATTCCTTCTTATATAGTTAAATTTATTTACTTTTTTGTAGTTTTCACCATTCAATTATCTTTAAAAAGTTGTTTCAATTATAATAACTGGACAAATGCAAATATCTATCAAGTAATTATATTACATTATTGAAAAATATGGAGTGTATACAATTCGCTATACATATAGTATGTATGAAAAAATATTTTAGGTTATTTCAATATTACCAAACCTCTATAATAGGAACTAAAATTACCATATTTTTAATAAATGTTCATTCATGCATTATACGATTAGATTAATATTAAAATATTTGATTATTAATTCTTCATTTGATACACAATCCAAATGAAAAAAAAATCTTGTTGACTCTTATTACATACAGTACTGGTACATAATCCAAGCAATATTAGAACTGCAATAATTTTTAATATTTGGATTTACAAAAAAAAAAAATTATTAATTTATTTAAGAGTATTTCATTTGTTCCTTGTTTTTAGTAATAATATGTCTTTCTTCTTATGTAATTAATTTTTACTTTAAATTCATGTACCCGCAGATATTTTTTAAATAATATTAATGTAAAAACGAATAGATAAAGATACTGCTATTTAAATTTTTCATTAGTGTAGCTGTTTACATGATAAGTGAAAAAATTGACCCATTTTTCATGATAATTATATAAATGAATCAAATATAAACTTGATTTCTTTCAACAAAACCAAGAGGGAACAAACTGATTTCCATACTAGAAATCATGCGAAATCAAGAAATCAGTTTGTTCCCCCTTGCACAAAACTCAAATATGTAAGAATTGTATTAGTTTATTTTTTCGCCAATAGGTTAAAATAATTCACACAGTCAAGACATTTTGCTTCTACATGAATGGTTACTTAGTGATAAATCAGATCAAATTATATTCATTTCAATTTAAATCTTGAAACAATTATACTGGAAATCATTTCTATTCATATCTTACAAAACAAACGGAGCATAATCAAGTATAATCTAATAGATAGATAAAATTTTATATAAAAGCGATCATCTGATATTATGGTTGAATTCCGAATAGCAATTAGAACTTGAATAGATTTTTTTTTCTAGGTTTTAATTTTTGTAAAAGCATTTTCTTAAAAAAAAACTCGCTCTTTAGATTTTTATAATTCAGTCAGAAAAATTTGGTAGAAAAACGCGTTTTTACGCATCAGAAGAAAACATCTTAAAGCGTTTTTCGAAAAAAATTGACGTTTTTTTTCTTATTTTTATTAAAAAATGCGTCAAAATAAGTGCTTTTGAGCCTACAAAAAATGACGTGTTATAACGCTTGTCTGCCTAGATTAAAAGATGCCGTTTTTGGGTGTATTATCAGAGCAGTAATATTCATTTCTGAATAAATTTTATAAACTAGTTATTTTTCTGCTATTCATTAACAACTATAAGAGAATGTAAGATTTAATTTTTCTATATTATTATTATTAAACATCCATAATTTCTATGACGCATGTACATGCAGATAATGAGTGAAAATATTTATTTTGCCAATTCACACTTACAGCCTTCATTAGCAAAAAAAAACATTTTTACATTATATAATAATGCTATTATTTAGGTAAAAATAGAACAAATGCTGATAACAAAATAAACGCGTGATTCACCATTCGCTGGTCTTATATGCAGTGGTGTTACATGTCGAATTAACTTTGGTGTTATGTCTCGTAAATCATTCTTTTGACAGCATGCACAAAAATCATTAGTAAATCAAATATTTTTTTATATCATAAAAAAATATTTTATTTTATTTTTTTCTATGTCAGTCACAAAAACAAAACATTAAACTTGAATGTAAACTGAAGCATAGTTGTGAAATAACAAAACGAACACGAAGTGCTTGTGCAGCATGTCAATTGAAGAAATATTTTATACTTGGTATGAATCAACAATTACTACATCGATGATTAACATAATATTGTAAATCAAAATATATTCAATTACTGAGTTTTCTAGATAGAACTAAATTTTTCTCAACATTATGGTTCAACTCTAACAAAAGAATAATGTAAACTTCTTTCAAATGTCATACATGCTTATAATGATATAAATGCAATTTCATATATAAAACATTTACTTGAACAATACGTATCATTATCGTCACAATACTTTTTTCTTCATCTCTTCAATTATTTATTCCATATTCAACGTAGGTTCATAATTTATCAACGAACCTATATCGAAACATTCATATAATACGATTCGAATCAGATGGAATATTAGTTAATATAATGCTTTTATTCTGACATTTTGGACTAATTATTCGCTTTAGAAGATATATTTATGACATTCTCTTTATATTATCCATGGTATAAATAATCCACCAAATGTGTCGCAGAGCAATATGATTGATACTACTGGTGAAGAAATAATGCATCTATCGACAATAAACGATTGAAATTATACACAAAAAACACTTTACTATTCAAGTATTACTTATACCATTTGAAAAAAGTACAGACTTTAGGCAAAATAACACTTTATAGTTTAGTTTGAAATATTATTTTATATCAAAGTACTCAGAATTATTATTGGTGAGAAAAGAATTTTATATAGTGAGTTTAGTTATATATATTTCTATAGACTAAGAAGTATCGTAGGTTATACCGACGGATTAATTTATCGGATTATGAATTCAATGTTTTTTATATCAAGTTTATTAGTATAAGATTTGACTTTAGTATGAAGAATGAATCTTTTTTCATCAGAAAAGGATAAACAGAATTTTTTTCTTTTGTTAGAGAAAAAACAACAGAGATTTTAAATCTAAACTATTTAGAAGTCTTACACATATAAAGAAATTGTATTAAACCGTGAACTCACTGCCACGTCCTTGTAGACATGCAAATCATGTTTTTCATCATAAGATATTTAATCAAAAAAACAGATTAGACACGTAGAAAATACGATTTACAACCATATGGACGCAGTAATTGGAATATCTACATAAATATTCATCAAATGATTACAAATCAATTACTTATTGAATGAAGAAATCCTCCGAAAATATCTACTGCCATCTAAAAGCTTTTCAATTATCATCAAATGAAGAATAGATAGAGGTCAAAAAAATACTGTAACATGTGTTAGCATTAAACAAATTATAATAACCGAAATTTTTTCAGCAATCTCATTCAGACCGATCTAAATGTGTTTATAAATAGAAGATGTTGATTATTTAAAATTTTACTATTAACCAATTAGAAAATTAAAAAAAATATATAATAAAAGTTAGTCGTAGTCATGTCAGCTTTTTTTTTATGTATTTTAATTTGCATTAAAAATAATCTAATGATCAGATGGTCTTTCTGATGTAAAACATCATGGAATGAGATTAAGTGGGGAAAAAACAAAGAAAGACAGACGTAGCAAAGATCTGATTCTGATTAAGAAAATAGAAACATATGTTATACCAGACAGGGTAACATACGAACTAATAGCATGACTTTACATTATTAGAAGTTTTCAGGAAATAGGAAAAGAATTTTTAGATTCTGCTTCATTAAAAATGCAAACTGAGTTCACAATAGCGTTATCGACATACCAAAAAAAAGTGTGTCTTATTCAATTTATCAATGGTATATTATATAAAACTCAATAACAAAGAAAGATAATTATATGTTTGGTACAATAACGATAAAGTTTGTCTTGCTGTCATTCTTATGAATAATTTTTACAAAACAAAATGTCACGTGAACATATTAAATAATCATCTTCGAAAAAAAATTATTATATCGATAAATGATACAAAATATTACGATGTTTTGCTCCACAAACTTGAATACAAGGATACTTTGTAGGTGGCGACATGCATTTTTCTTGTTTACGATAATACAGCGAATATTGACGTATGTATGTATCGATGAATAATATCTATGTTGACGTGCGACGAAGTAATCGAGTGTGTCGATCATAGGGAGACAGCAAAGAGTCACATAAATGATTATTCATTACGAATATAAATATAGAGATTATGGAATGTCATAGGGATATGACATTCGATAAAAATCATCGATTTAAACTGAACATATTTTGATTTCAATGATTATGGTAGCAATACAAGTATGTTTTTTTTTTGAAATAAAATAAAAATATCATATTTCATTTATTTATAAGAGTTCAACATGTGTACAAATCAGTCCTGATATTAAATATTATTCCATAGATAAGATATGTTTTATGGATGAATACATCATATAAATTTTACGGTAGAAAAAACAACGATTCAATCAGTAAATAGTAATTCTTCTAATGATACATTCTAATCAATGAAGGAATTGAATAGTAAATTTTGTTAATGATAGAATGCAAAAAAAAATATTATTTTATACTTCAATACTCGTTAGATATCTAAATTTGGTTTCCGAATGATTTTCAAGTAATATTTTAACGACAAAAACAGTTTACGTTAGAAAAAATATTTTGATCGTAAAGGTTATTAAGTTGTTCTTAAAAATTGTTTTTTTCTTCTATTTCTGAATCGTCGCTTTATATCTACCTCTCCCTTTCTTAATTTCTATCGATTTATGTAAAAGGTGCATATCAAACAAGAAACTATTATCGCAGCGGTCGCTGTAATTATTGTAAACTAAGAGAAAAAAAATATCAGTCTATACAGGCATCGATGTACTTTATGCTTCCGATACATTAGACTAATTTTTTTTTTCTGTTGACAAAAAGTTCTTAATAGCAACTAATATAATCGTTATATTTAATTATTTACAACAAGATGACTGCTAATTTAAAAGCATTTGAACATATTCCTTTGTCTAATTTACAAAAGTAGTCATGAATGAGGAACAGCTTTTTCTTTTTACAACAATTTTGTATATTAAAAAAATAGAAATTCTTTTCTTTTTTCAGATGAATAAAATATCTGTATAATTGTATAAGAATCAACAATGGTAACAAAACGAACAGCTGGCTTACCATTAATTTGTCTTGTATGTGGTGATGATGCACGTGGAATTAACTTTGATGTTATGTCTTGTATGTCTTGTAAAACATTCTTTCGACGACATGCACAAAAAGCAGTGGTAAATCGAATATATTTTTATATCATAAAAAAATATTTATTTTACTTTTTTTTTCTATATCAATCATAAAAATAAAAGATTAAACTTGAATGTAAACTGGATCATAATTGTGAAATAACAAGACGAACACGAAGTGCTTGTGCAGCTTGTCGATTGAAGAAATGTTTTACACTTGGTATGAATCAACAATTACTACGTCGATGGTCCGTAAAATGTTCTAAATCAAAACCAGCTCAAGTATTAAAAACTCTAGATAGAAATGGAAATTATTTACCAAAGGTTTATCGAAATCGATATTTATTAAATATAAATAAATTCTTTTGTTTTTTCTTGATCTAGCCTTTACCATTAAATCTTCTTCGAAATGATCATTCAACTTTAACAAAAGAAGAATGGAATCTTCTCTCAAATATCGTACATACCTATGACAAAACAAATATTATTCCAGATATAAAATATCAACTTGAACAACAATCAGCATTACCCCCCAAAGTACGCTCAAAAGTATCAACATCAGTTGATGTATTAAAATATTTTCTTTCGGCATTACAACCATTTATTGAGGATTCACCATATTTTCAAGATTTATCAATTGATTTACGTCAAGCATTAATACAACATAATTATGACACTGCTAGCACAATGAATTGTGTTTTTATTATACGTGAAATGAGTGCTTTAGATAATGCAACATTTTTAACAAGTTGTGATGTTGTTTATGGATATGATATATTTAAATATTCTACACATTTTGTTTCACGATTAGAATCTAATAGTACACTTATCAAAATATTACTTTTAACATTAGCATTTTCAACAAATTGTTCTATTGTTAATCCCGATGATCCAAAAAATCTCCGAACTATATCAAATACAATAGCTGTATTTAATATACAAAATATACTTGTTACAATGTTTTGGAAATATTTAATATATCAATATGGTTTTATTGGAGGCGTACGACGTTTTGATTCATTAATAAAATATGTTCTTGAACTTCTTCATAGTATGAATGAAAGAGCAAATGCACAACATGAACAAATGATTGATACAATTGTTGAAAAAACAACACGTTCATTAACAATAGATGATCAAAAGATGTATTAATTAACCCAACATGCAATATTCCATATCCTAGGGTTCATGCAAGTATTACGTAATCCACTTGAGAGGGAGGAGGGGTAGGCAAAAGGGGGAAGTAGCAAAATGTCGACAAAAAACAAATGTCGATGGATAAAAATGTCGACAGTGCAAATAGTCGAAAAACAAATTGTCGACATCTTGAGGGTGTGGGTGTCGGTGTGGGTCGGGTGTTGGTGTCGGTGTGGGTCGGGTGTTGATGTCGGTGTAAGTCGGGCATAGGTGGGAGTGGGTCGGGTGCGGGTGGGCGTGGGTGGGTGTGGGTGCAGGTTTCGATAGATTCCATACTCACACGCTCAAGAAAATATATCAGGCTGTGACGTGTTATTATTCTACATTAAAATAGAAGTTTCTAGAGCTTTTTAAGTGAATATTTTGCTCGTCGACATTTTGCTTTCGACATTCTGACACCTCATAGGCAAAAGCTTACGCTCAATGGTTTTGATTCATCAAAAAACACAGGATATTGATTATTTGGAGGAGGGGAGGGGGTCAAAATGGCCAAAAACCGGATTACGTAATACTTGAACAGTTCCTATCCTACAGACTTTTACAAGAACTTACATGTGTACATATATAGCATGGATATTTATCATCGGATATTGTTACTTTTATATTTGAACTATTGAATGATTATTAAATCATTATTTTATTATAATACAATCATATGAAAATATGACTGATATTCATTTTTAGACTAATCGATTTATATGTACATGTAAGAAAAAGAAAACATGTAAAATTTGTATATCGATTTTTAGTAGAAAAAAGAAATAGTTAACATGACAGTCTTTTTAAATAAATTGTATCCAAGATCAGATCTATTACTAAATTTTATATATCGATTCTATTTTTAGAATAATCACTATAGATTGTATGAAGTAAAAGTATTCGCGTACATAACAAAAATGACAGGTCTCACTGGCATGCTGTTGTTACTTTACAAAAATAATTATTCTTGAAAGGATGTATTATTTATTATTAAGAAAATTATAAACACTAGTTTTTCCAGGGTTTTATCAATACAAAAAAAGAATGTTAATGACAACAAATTCTGTCGAGTAATTTTCATAATAACAACATATGTAACAAAATTCAACTAAACAAATATTGTCTTAGTCTTGAATTTATCCAAAATATGTGTATAACCTTTTATGGATATAATAGCATATATTACAAATCAAATATCGAGAAAAAAATTCTATTGGTTTTTGTACTAGAAAATGACATTTAGTATTAATTTCTAGACAATAATTGTAGAATTTGTTTTGAAATATCATCTGTATAAATAATATAGGAATTTACATATGTAATATTTTCTGAAAGAATTATCATTAAGGACTTTTATACAATACTCGATTCTATTGTATAATAAATGTTCTATATGGATCATTCGTTAGTAGAAATAATATAATGTTTAATAAACGAACACAAAACAAGACACTTGGAGTAAAAACTGTCAGTAGAATCGTACCTACACACCACTACGTCAATAACACATTTTTGAATGACCTTATATCGAATATAACGTCAAAACAAAAACCTAGACGATTTGATGCGAAAGCTGAATATGACATACGACAAGGAGAAGCAATTAGTACGTAACGATGTATAATCAACAGACCAAGCCACGGGATGCAGAATGAAGACGAAAAAACAATAACAAACGCTCGTACCTATATATATGTTTGCTAACCTTGCTGCCGCTCGCCTTGAAGGTTTCAGTGGAGTATACATTCTCTTTTATATTGCAATGCTCCAGTCATGAAGTTTTTAAATGTATTTTTAATTCACTAGTTGTATCTCTGCCATCAGTTTAACTGTTCCTTTAAGACCGACACGATCGGAGAGTTTTTGGTATGTTAATAATAATAAAAAAATTGACCTACAAGAGTCATTACTATAATTGGGAGATTAATGATGAAATGACATTGAAACTTCTAGTGTTAGAAGCAAATACTAATAAATATTCAATTAGTCAAATTGAAGTTGATTGTTATCTCCAATAGTAATTCCATTACCTGAATTTTCGATAGAATTGTGCCAGTTGATTGACCTGAAGTAGAGAACTTAAAAATAAATTATATTCAATTTGAGTTTTCCTTTAATAAGTACTATCTACCTCTACTTTCTCATTTCGGATATTGTATTATAATATTTCAATTAACTTATAGTTATTCTTTCTACATAGTTAACATAATACTCGTCTATCTATTGTATTTATTATATTATTCACCTTCTCTATAATCATCCGATGATCTTTTAATTGATAGTATGATATTTTTTAACATAGAAAAAATCAGTTAATGTCCGCAAACGACAGATGTATTATTTTCAAAACGATAATTTCTATATACATCTCATAACGGTATAGAGTATCAATATTGATCAGTAAACAATTGTTTTTTCAAGAGAATTCAATTAAATCAAGTGTTCTTATCTCTTCATCATATCATACAACATGATATATAAAATAAATCAGCCATAAGTTTTATTACATTTATTATCCGTACTTTCGTTACAATTAGTAACAGTTTGTTTTTATTCTCAGACTATGATTTTATTATTTCGCTAGTAATCATTTTTCAGATTTAAACAAGTGCTTCTATCCAATCATGTTTTTAGAATATATCTTTTTCATCACTCATCTATAAATATAATGAAAAAAAAGAAAGTAATCAACCAATAAAAACTTTACAATAATCAATGGCTTATCCAGCATTTCAACGCACTTTTTCGTATTCTCTATTGTATTCTTCCGTATCTATTATGAATTAGTCTTAGTTTTTAGGACGATGATCAAATTACATTTCTCATTGAAATGTATATACGGCTGACCAACGAAAACGCCCTATTTTTTTTTTTCTTTTCTTTTATTCATGAGAATACACACTCTTGCTATAATGTTAGTATGAAGAGAGAGAAAAAAAGAGAACGTTCATCATATGCTATACAAACACATCTATAATTCGATTGCACACTACAGAGAGAAGAAAGTATAGTCTTATTGCAAAGTTTCAAAGTTAATCACAACAACAATATGATGCATTTGAATAACTAGTACACAAAATAGGTATTTATTGAAGTTTTCTTAATATTAGTATTTAGTTTCGAACATATAGATAACTTTCAATAAAAATATCCATACTATTTTATATCATAATCGTCACCGCTTTTCACTACTCATAGTAAAACTATCAGCTGTTTGTCTATGATTAAACTCTCTTCTATTCTATGTGCTTATCGTTTAGATCAAAACAAAAGAAGACGTGTCCGCTGTATTATTTAGATACTATACTGAACTTTTTTTCCTTCTCGTATCGATCAATACTTGATCGTTTTTTATGTATTCATCTTGACAATGAAAAAGCATCTTCGATTTCATGACTACGTCTCCTACGTACATAAACCGTTATTTATTTAATGTGTGAAAATTTTACTTTATACTTTACTATATAATCATAGTGATCTATTGATGAGCACGTTCATTTTTCTCTTCATGACCTTTTACTTTCTATATTTTTCAATTAGTGTGCGCGTTTGTTTTTCGACAAGCCATATGTGATGCATCATTGTTATTATCAAGACAAGTATTGTTATGATTGATGAGTAAATTTTTTTCAGATGGATAAAATCATTATTGAATCGTCATTGGTTAATTCTCTATTCAAATGTCCACTCTGTAATGAACTTATACATTCAGCTACAGTCATTAATGAATGTTTACATCGATGTAAGTCTAGTTTTAAAACTGATTAATCATAAGACCCCTTTTTTCCTTCAAAAAATTTTAGTTTGTAAATTATGTATAACAAATTATTTTCAAAATTCAAATAATAATACTTGCCCATTATGTCAGATGATGGTTATTAATCCATTAGAAACATTAAGGTAATATTTAACTAATTTATATCTAAATTCCTATTTCAGTTATTTCATATAGATCTGATCTTACATTTCAACGATTACTATATAAAATCTTTCAACGTAAGCGAAGATTTTATCCTTATCTTTTCATATACATCTATCTGTCATTATAATTATTTAGGTAAAATCGCGTGCAAATCATCTCTACTGATCACTAACGGTTAGTTAAATAAATGGCCTTAAGGAAAAAACTTTACTATTTATTTATTCTCTATTACAGAATCAACCGATACTAAGATATATGTACAATTAGAATATTGGAATATGTAAGTTTTCAATAACTAATTAGTTCTCATTTAAAAGCAATGCATGCATTTCCGCTAGCTATTAACTTTCATTCAATGTCTAACAAAACATATGAATAGCTCATGGCTAATTTTTCTCTCTTTTTTTTTTAGTTCATTAGATTTATTCCCGAATGAATCACCGATAGAATTATCAAAATGTTATTTAGAATGTCCAGCGAATACACCCTTATTATCCATAGAAAAATTTCTTCGAATTAAATATTCATTATTATCAACAATAAAAGTAAGAATTCGATTTCGTCTACTTTTTTTTATATAAAATTATTTAGATCGATTTATTTTATAAAACATTTTTATTAAATACTGATAAAGAACGATTGAATGATATATGTTATTGTTTTGATATACGAAATAAAACACTTGATATTCGATTTGTTATTAGTCCATATGGTTATCAAGCAATACTTCAACGTATTCATCAATCAAAACAACCAAGTCCATTAAAAATTGAAATTTTAGCACCTACGATTAGTTCTTCGTTATCTTCTACCGGTTCAATAGATTCAACACTTAAAGTCAAATTATGTCGATCACAAAGTTCAACAAATGATTGGTATATTCCTCAATCAATTGAACTACCTGATCTAATTAATTCATGTGAAAATCGAACAAAATATAAAAAATCGTTATTAAAAAAGAAATTTAATAAACCTCGACGACGTATACGTTTTATTCCAACAATGGTTAAAGTTCCACCATCAATATTCGATTGTCTTTCAAATAATCGATATGATTTTAATACATTTCAATCAAATGAAAAAATGATCAACACTGTATCGAATACTAAATCAATGATTTCAATTACAAAAACAATTTGTAAAGTTTCACCATATATTCGTGAAAGTTCTTCATCAATAATCGAATCATCCTTCTTAGAAAAATCTTCCTTATTTAATAATACTCCGCTTGATTTAAGTTTAAAATAAATGAGTATGTAATCTATTTCGAACAGTGATTGATTGATTCTTTTTTATGTATCTATCGTTTGTTGTATATATATATAAACGAGTTGAAAGAAAACAGTCCATGATATTTATTCAAGGGATATTATGCTACTACACACGTGCGGTATGATGATGAGCAGATAAATAAAAGAAAAATGGGATTTCCGTTTGTATACAAATATAATTGTTTACTTGTTATTATAGATAAGATTGCTACTACTTGATCTTTTTGATCAAGATTTAGATGAATAGCAATAATGTGTGACACTTATTTAGGAACATATCGTGAAGAATAGAAGGTATATCAAAGAGTATAGTTGATAGAATATCTATTAACACCTTACATATATTCTTTCGATCAGTGAAAAAATAATCAATTTTTAGATAAATGCACAGCCTAACTACTCGAAAAAAACTTACCTTAATGTTTATAGATTTCATTTATAACGAAGTTCGTAGTTAAATGTTTCACATTGAAATTAACGTAACTTAATAAAAGATAGTGAATAGATGTCGAGAATCTGCAGTTGTTCTCTTAGTCTATTACAAAATTTCATCTTGATTTCTAATCTCTATGAAATGATCGATCATCGATAGATTAGTTTCTATTGTAAAGTCTTGGTTATTCTCTTTCTCGTAGAGAAGAGTCAAGTAAACATAAATTATCTGCCTGCTTGTCTGTCCGCAGGGTCAAAAAAACATCGAAAATCGATTTTCCGAAAAAGACATTTCTAGAGGTTTTTCGATGCGGGGAGTTCGAATCTGAGGTCTTTTGGGTGACCATGGTTGGGGAGTGGGTCAGGGTGGGTGAGAGGTCAAAAAAACATTGAAAATTTATTTTTCACGGTTTTCAATTGTTTTTTCAGTGAATGTGAAGAAGATGCATTTTTACAAGAAAGAGCTAAGCCAGTCCTCGGACCAGCGTTACTTGTACATTAATCTTCTGCAAGCATGGATTTTTACTATTTATACAATGTCTCACAGATGATAAATGCAGTGAACTTGATCACTAAACTGTAGATTGTCAATACATTAATCAGATTTTATAGTCTCTTCTCAGAGATAGCTCAAACTCAAATATAATGTTTAATAATATACAATGATGAGCTTACATCATACGATTATCATTGCGCTTTTCAGAAAATGCATTTAAACATTATGATGGATAATAATTATTTACTAAGAAAATACTGAAATCTATGGCTTAATTTAATCTTAAATATAACAAAAGATAGTAAAATGTCTTGTATAAATTATCTATTTTTTTTAAGAAAATTCTCAATATCTATAAAATAAATTTCGTATAACAAAATTAATAAATGAATATTTTAATATTTTTTTATCACAAAAAAATGGTATCCAAGGTTGTATAAAATAACCAGCTGTTATACCATTAAATATAAATGTTAAGACACAACCAATTGGTTTTGAAATGTAAAACTGTGGAAATTGTTGTTTAAATGCAGATTCAATAAGAACAGCTAAACCTTGAAGAAGAAAAAATTTTATTTGATCACCAGAGAATTTATTCAATGTTATATAAACAGTATATTCATGCATAATACCGGAAACTAAGAAAACACACATTGATGAAATACCATAACTGATAAATTTTGGTAAATATGGCCAATGATGACAAATCAATGTTGATATTGGTTTGAAGATCAATTCAATCCACGTATTTTTAAAGCTATACAAATAGATTATTATAGAAAATGCTTTCGATCTCTTTAACTTACATTTGATGCCATCTTGACCAAAAATCTATAGGTGATATTGCCCGATATGGTTTATTGAACAGATCAGGTATCAATTCAAGTGGTCGATTAAGTAATAGACAAAGTGTATGTCGAACAATCTCATAATTGAACATTAAAAATAAATATACAACACATCCACCTAATTGATTAATAATAATTTGTACTAATAGATATTTCTTATAATATTTTTCATAGAAATCTGTACTGAAAATTTCATGTAATGAATAAATAACAAAGTCAAGTAAGACATAATATTTTATTATATTACAAGATATATCTATTAAGGATTGAGCATGTTTATTAAATTGTATAGGACCAGTATAAAATATTTCTTTTTTTTTTCTTTTTATCTAATTTTTTTATACTAACAGATTGTGTATAAACACGATAATAAAATAATTCATGTTGTATATCAAAAAAAGACCATTGATGAAATTCATTACGTCGAATTAATAACCATTCACATACTTTTTGTACATAATAAATAGCAATACCTGCAATACATGAATTAAATAATGGTATTGAACGTACTGGTTGATACATAGGAATAAATAGTAAATAAATAACAATAGGAATCGTTAAAATCCATTTTGAAAGTTTTGTTATTGATTGATTGAATATTGAAAGAAGAAAAATTGGAAGATAAAGTGCTGTTACAGCTATACTTGTAGGCAAATATATTTGTTTTATATCGTTAATATTGGAATGTATACAATGAATAAGGTATTGTAAACATTCCATGTGCGATTGAATATTTTTGTTTCGTTACGAAGCAATAAAAGAACGAAAAATGTTTTTTTACGTCACTATTGTCCTTGACAAATTACTAATGATATGTTTATTCATTGGTTAAGTATACTATTCATATCTCTTATTTCAATTGATTCATAAAGAAAAAACAAAAACTTTATTTTATCAAGACATTTAAACAATTTATTCGTTAAATAGAATATGATAAATAAACAAGAGCAAAAAAAAAAGACAAAATTTTTACGCTGAAATAAGAACATCTCCATTGTGTAAATGTGTTACTATTGGTAGATGAGTTCGAGTTTTTGTATTATTATTATGAATATATTTTTTCGTTGTTAATAATTCATGATCAATAGATGATAAGGATGGTGATTCTATTTGTAATGGTGCACGTCGACGTCGTCGTCGTTCATCAAATCCTTGATATTGTCGATAGAATCTTGGTGATAAATTTGCTTGTGGAACAATTCCATGAATAAATGTTGATCGTGTTGTTAAATAATTATCATAACGTCTTGAATAATCAAGTGATACATTTGGTTGTTGCTGTTTAAATTGATAGATATCATTCGAAAGATCTGTTGAAATAGCTGTTGATATTGATGGTGCAAATGATGATGATGATATTTTATCTTCAGAAAATGATGATACACGAAATCGATGTGATTTAATAAGTATTGCAATAATAAATACAATAAATATAAAAAATAAAAGACTTGCAATAGCAACAATAATTAATGTACGAAAAAAACTCATTGGTGGTGGATAAATTTGTTTTGTTGTTGAAGAAAATATATCAAACATAGATGTAGTTGATGTTAAAGAAGATTCATTTGGTAAATAATCATAAATTTGTCGTGATATTGATAATGGTCGACAACGATTACCATTACAATAAGTTCCTATGTATATATATATATTCATATCAATTAGAAATAGCTAGTAAATATATATATGTGACTTATACCTGTAGGACATTTTCTTATATTTAATCCAATATCTTGTTCATCATTAAATCGACAAATACCTGTTGGTTCTAATTCACAATCAAATATTCCATTAACTTTTCTCACTTTACGTGTATATTTTGGACAAATACAATGAGATGTTTTACTTTCATTACACCATTGTAAACAACGTTGAGGAAATTTTGTACAATTACTTCGATCTATTGAATCAGTACATAAACGTCCTACATTTGATATATCAATAGTTGTAATATTCTCATTAAAACATTGACATGTTTGAGATATTTGATCACATTGAATAAGATTTGTTAGAGAATATCGATTACTACAATCTTCATCGGATTGACATTTTGTTCCAATAGGTTTTTCATAATCGATTTTAAAATTAAATGTTTCATTAGATGCTGTTAAATAAACAAGTTGTTTAGAACAATCAAAAGCTTTACATGAACGAAGAGTTATATCGCCTAAACAAAATTAGTTAATTTTTTTCATAAAATTTAGTTACAAAAATTATTTTAAACATACCTGGTTGCAAATAAAGAACGGATTGCATACCAAGATCAGTAATATTATTAACACTTAAATATGTTGTCATATATTCCGTAATTGATGGTGATTTACTTGGATATTTATTTGGTCGCATAGTATATTGACATTCTGTAAATGTCAAATTAATAGGTTGATGAGCACACTTGAGTAATAAAGGTATAAGTAATACCCAACGATTGCTTAAATTATAAATAAGTGTATTACTAATAAAATTGTCAGTTGTATTATTATTATTAAATGAATAATGTCCAATAAAATCAATTGAATGTGAATTAAAAATATGTGCACCAAGTGATAAATACAGACTTGTATCAAGTACACATTCAGCTAAGATAACTGATGTACGAATATAAGGACAAGAAGCCAATAAATAGCTTATGAAAATGAAACAAAAAACAATAAGCAATCGAATAAACATGGCATGACATACATTAAATTATTAATTCTACATTATTATCTAAAAAGTAAATAAATCGATAAATATTTTTGTCGATTGAGTAACCTGCACTGTTGGTGGTCATTGTCAATCATTCTAACATACGCACAATAAATAGAATGACTATTGTGTAGATATATATACATACTGGATATTACAATTAAAAAAAGAACCGTTAGAATAGTATTGGGCGTTACTCAGTCAGACGGTTAGTCTCCTTCTTTCATTACAATCAACATACTCTATATCGATGTGGTGACTGTTTCACATCAAGTGAATATACAAGCATGCAAGATGGGAACGATGCGATTTAATTCTTTCTTTTTTTTTTTCTATCGTCGAGACAGACATAAAATTTATCCTATTCGATACCATATATATAATAGACTTTCGCTTACACGATTCTTAAAACATATATATAAATGATCAATTGATCAAAAGTGCACTCGAAAAATTATACTTTTCAAGTTCAATTAGTTAATATTAAGAATTATTTGCATCATTCAATACAATTTCTTTTTTCAAAAATCAACATATGAGAAGACACATACAATATATAATTGTTAACAAAAAAAATAAGACAATTCAAACCTGTTGTGATGACCATCGATAATAAAGTATGGTGTGTGTACTGACCAAATGAATTGAGTCATTTGTTAATATGATTCTCAATATGGCAGTATATTGATGATTGCAGATAATCGTCTCGAATTTCTGCGATATTTCTTATTCATTCTTTTCTTTAACATTTACATCATACATTCATACACGAACGAGCGGAAAAGAGACTTTTTTCTCTCTCTCTCTCTTATGTAGAGGTATTGTTTGTACAAATCATATGACAGATAATCACTTTATGATACATATATGCACGTATGAGATTATGTTCCTTTTTCTTTTCCTTATGTATGTATTCTAGAAAAACGATGCTAATTCGTTTCTTCATTTAAAATAAATGTTTTTTTACCTGTTCTGTCAATTGAATATTTATACATCTGTTTTTTCTCTCTTCCTTGCCTATGGCAGAAGAAGAAAAGAATCAAATGAACAGCACCATTATAAAGCAAATAGTACGAGTGATTGACAGCCGGACTATTATATGACGACATGAATATACGATATTGTTAGTATTTTGTCAGTGATGGCACATCACATTATACGCCCTTTTGCAATAGATGTATCGCCTCAAGATACTTCATCGTAGTGCTTTCCGTTACGTAAGAAGTATAACACATGTATATGTATATATATAAATATGAGTGATCACTTCTAATAAGATTGATTTAGAATATCAATGATCAAACATTCCATATGCCTCACGTACGAGTTTAAAGAAAGAAAATAAATATGATTTATATATATACAATAGATCAATGTTAGTTTTGATGATACAAATATTTAATGGCAATGATATTCATCATTAAGAAAGCATATCATAACCTTGCAGTCTTATCATATGCATAAAAGCATATTCTTTCATCAATAATCATCTATATATGATATCTTTTATTCGTAATTGAACATCATCATCATCAACATCATTTTCTTTTACATTGTGATAATAAAAGCTAATTGGCAATATGCAATCGATGTAACTGTTACTAAAATAATATACTATGATCTTTGTACCATAATATAAATTAGATATCGAACTAATCGATAGTATTATTAAACATTCAAAAATGTCATTGATAAAGAGCATATAATCATTAGGGAATGAACAAATACATTATGTTAAACAAGAATAGATTTCTAATCAAATTTATTCAAAATTTATGAATCAGTCTATTCATCATCAACATTAGTACCAAGGATAAGTGCACGTTGATATGCATTTAAATTTTTCATAGACATTTTAGGTAAATGTTCACCTGAACCTGAAGAAAGAAAATTTTTTATTAGATTAGTTTTAATTAATTTCATTTTGCAATCTTACTTGCTTGTTTTAATTCTGTACTCCAATGTGATAATGTACAATTATTTTGTACTAATAATTTTCGTTGTTTTCGAAATTCATCAAGTGTATATCCACGTATAAATGTTGTAGGACTCATACTAACATATGCTACGATTCTTAAAAGATCTATCGGTTGATTTCTATCGATTTCATCAGTTAAAAATGCAGGTGAATTACAATGTACAAGACGACTATCCCATAGAACAAGATCACCAACTTGACATTGAACAAGTTTTCCAATGGCTTGTCCTCCATCGAAGATTGGATGTTTACTTCGGATCATAAGAAAATCTGAACGTCGATTACCAAGATTACTTAATTCTTGAAAGCGTAAATGTGTATGTGGAAAAACAATAAGACCACCTGTTTTTTCATTTTGATTTGTTAACGATACAAAACCTTGTACACAACATCGATGAGGTTTTATAACTGGATTTTGATCAACATGATACCATGCAGGTTTAGTTTGCCATTCTGGATTGTAACGCCAATCACGATAAATACCACAGCCATCAAATGAAACTAATAATTCATTTGTATTCCATATCTGTGAATAAACACGTTTTACATTTCGATTTGAACGAATATTCCACATAAATTCAGACTGGCCAATACCATCACTATTTACAACACCGCTAGTTTTGAAACCTGGCCTATTAATAGAATAATTTCAGCAAAATAAAATAGATGTTTATTTTTTTTCTTCTTACCAACGATTTGACCATGTTGAAGGATCATCACGTCGAATATTAAAATCAGGAATATTTTCAAGAAATTTCCATAATAAATCTTTATTAAAATTGATTTCATCTTGAGAAAGAACATCACTAAAAACTGCATAACCATGATCATTTAAATAAGATATTCCTTCATTTAAACTTTCATTATTTGTTACTGAATAACGGGGTGTTAATGTTGTATGATCAATACGTATACCATCTTTATCATAACTATATGGAATTTCCATGACTTCTTCTTTTTTGATTTATGTGCTTGTATGTAAAAAAAATTGAAAATACAACTGCGTGATATATGTAGCAAGACTTGCGACATACATGACTCATATTTGAAAATGATGAAAGTATTTCGCAATACTGATAAGAAAAAAAGTTGTTTTTTTTTTGTATTTTTCAATAGAATTCAAAGGAAAAATTTATTATTCTTGTACAAAGTTTAATTGAATATTAATCTAATTGCTTTTTAACGTTTTTCATTTGCATTCATCTGTAATATAAATTTAATAAAATTATAAAAACATTTATATGAATTTCTTTTTCATATAGCGGAATGAAATTTCTTAATGCATCATAAAATTTGTGAGTTTTTCTGTTACTTATTTATAAATTCATATTTATATTTTATTCGATCATTTAAATCCTCACCCACATACTTTTCACATATTAAAATGATTGCAACAATCTGTGCATAGATAAATAATAAGATCATAATATTTTGCTTCTAGCAGATTTACTATAGAAAGTTCTCTAATGTTTCAATAAAAAGTAGAAGATAATATTCAGAATATTACCTTCTTCTGTCATCTTTCATCGTTTTTGATATACTACTATCGATGACATCATTTATTAATGGAATTAATCTTGGGCGATGAATTATCTCAATGAAAATGTTCTAGTAATAATCAGCTGATAAAAAAATTTTGTCTACCAACTGATTTTCTTTTATATTAATTACAACTAATATTATCATAATATAAGATATTGTATAAAATAGAATTTAAAAATCTATCGATGGATGTACCATCATAAGCAGTTGCGCCCGAATGGATGCGACCGTTAATATATCTCAGCATAATAATAAATTATCTTCATCTTTTCATAGTGAATAATGATGATTAATAAAGGCAATACGCTCACTTAAAATATATACTCTTATTATGCTAAGTTACATGAATCGACAAAAAAGTATATATCATAATGGTTATTCCCTTTTCATGACATCAAATAGAGGAAAATAAACACGTATCATTTCAAAAAACGAAAACTAATAAAATGAGCATCATTTAAAGGCAGAAAAGTCTTACAAATCTAGATACACTATCCAATCCAACTCCAGTATTAAATAGGATGAACTAGTGTGATATCATAACTCGTAAATTTCTAAAATACCCATTATATATTTCAAACAATTTTTAATAGGTCTTGACGTACTAAAGAAAACGTATCTATCCGAATGTGTTTCACCTACTAAATAGATATTTAAACTTTGATTGTTATATTACCGAATGAAAAAGTATTAGACTCCCATATATTTACAAGTGTTATAGTGAAACTCTTAGAAATGAAAGTTTTTATTAGAAAAAGTTCTAAGAAAGTTATCGAACGAATAGCTTAATCAATTAATCTAAAATTTGTTGAGAAACTATATATTTATATATTCTATTAGCAAACAGAGTTTTAAATCATACTTTCGAACATAAATCTGAGCTCTAATAACAAAACAAATGGGTTCAATCTTGTCTCTCGTTTAAATACTAAAAAGAATTCATTAATACGATGCGAAGCAAAGCATTTATAGAGTCCTTCGTGAATTTTTAAGATGTGAAGCATCCTACATTGAGACTATCCGCGAGTTCTCTTGCGTATGCATTCAAAATAGTCATTTTGTATCACGATTATCTCAGCAATGGAAGATTAGAAAATACTCGTTTAAACGCAAAATTATTATGCCAAGATCGAACTGATATGACATGTTTTCCAATTTTTAACAGAACGTTTAGTTCGTTTATACAAAGCGTCGCAAAAACACGATTTTGACTTTCACACATTTCGAGATAATTAAAACGAAAAACAAAAGAGCCATTTTTCTCAAACAACTGTTTTACAGCTGACGATGGATGATAAATCAGCGAAATAATTAAACAGTCAACCAATATCTTACTCTTAAAACATGTTGAGAAAAATTAATCGAGATTTCATAATGATACTGATTATTATGTTGATCGATTATTTCAAAAATCGTGAATATCGAGATTTCAAGAACTGCTTCGCCCCTTAACCTGCATCCTCGACTTGTCGCGATGCCATATAGTGCTTTTGCTTTTCGTTTCAATTACCTTGAAATCAAGAAGAAAATAAAGTTCATAATTGTAATCATATTTTTGCGGAACTTTTTGTAAACAAATAAAACCTCATGCGAAAAATCGAAAAATAATTAGTATGAGCTTCATCTTTGTGTATTTATTCATGCATACGACAAAAAAAAAGGTAGAAAGAGTCATCCATTACTGCATGAATGCTTTCCTTCGCATCGCATTAAAAAGTGCAATCGTTTAAATATCTATGGTGAGGAATATTTTTCTGAATAATCTAACGTTAATCAAAAAACAAATAACGTAACTTTTGCACGTTACAGAACTAGATAATATCTATTTGCAATAAAATTTCTTAAAAAACTTATTTTTACATTGAATGATCACATTTACTACAAGATGACAAAAGATCACTGAATAAAAGTTACTTTCTTCCCATAATTTTTCTTCGTGCTACTCAATTATATATATGTATCATAGTTTATGAATATGTACTACTGTTTTCCAGAAGTGATAAATGAGGCGAAGTAGATAATTCACTTGCTCAATAAGTTTACAATGCACCGCTTTTGTCAAGAACTATATATCGTAATAATCAAACCTTGACGGGAATATGTTGATTACGAATATAATATAGTGTTTGTTCTGTTGATTCATAACATTTTCGTATATATGTAAAATGACATGCTTTGATACAAAGTCTATCTACTTACTATTATCAAAGCACCTTTGATAAAAAAATATACTAAAACGCATTCAACCGTGCATAACTTGTCCATATTTTCTTTCAGTAGTATTTAACATGCATCAAGAATTAGCAAGCGATAGTGAAGGCTCAAGTATCACAACATCAAATTCCTTAATATTCAAACAATTACAATTCAATTATCTCATTGGCTTTGCACTTGCAGGAGGTAATAATACTTTATAATCATACTCTATCATATTAATCATTATCATATTTTCTATCTCAATCGTATAGCTGGTAATAATTTACAAAGTTCCTATCGATATGCTATTTTCGATTCATATGGTCTTAGGCGACCAACAATTGAACGAATTTTTCTTTGTGCTCATATTTCAACTTTAACCCTTGGTACACTTATTTCATCACTTTCTGATAAATAGTAACTATATTGCTTTAGAATATATTATCAAAATACAGAAGAACAATTGTATTGTTATCTATATTTAGTGGTCGTCGAACAGCATGTATATTGTCCGCCATATTCTATACGATCAGCTGTCTCTCACTTGTAAATAAAACGTTCTAATATCAATTCATAATATGATTTGTATCTTAAAAGAATATCAATGTAGTATGGATTTTTTTCGTTGGAAGTGCAGCTCGTGGTATAGCTTCTTCATTACACAATACAAACTTTGAAGCATGGCTCGTTCAAGATCATCATAACGTATATTTGCTTATTCTAATACCCATCATCGTATATACATATATATTCTTCTAGAGTGGTTTAAGTACTGACTCACTTAAACAGATACTACGACATTCATGTAAATTCTATTATTTTCAACTTTATTTCGATATTATTTCTCATTTTTAATTATATACATGTAGTCGTTATACAATCAATCATTGCTATAGCAGTAGGCTTTGTTTGTGAGTTCTCAGCAGACCTATTTGGATATGTGTAAGTTATCACATGCAATTACTCATACTTTGTTTGATTAACTCGTTTAGTTTAATCTTGTAGAGCTCCATTTGATATTGCTGCTGGTATATATGTAATTATGATAGTTTTTATATTAATACAATGGACGGAAAATTATGGTGATAAGGAAGCATCAAGTACAACTTCATTTATTACTGCTTTTCAAGTACTACGAAATGGTTAGTAGATTTAATAATCTCTTTCGTTAAACTATATGGAAAAGATTTTCAATTGAATAGATTCTCGTATTGTATTAGTTGGATTAATTACAGCGTTTTTTGAAGTTACAATCTATATTTATGCAATTGAATGGACACCTGCATTGGAACATGCACGCAAGTGGACTATCTCTGAACCATTACCATTAGGCATAATATTTTCAACTTTTATGGTAACGTTACATTTTGTTTCGCAATAGAGAGAGAAATATGTATTTAAGAAATAGTTTTTTAATATGCTTGGTGCTGTAGCTTTTAAACCATTATCTAAACGGTTTCGAGTACAATCATTTATGTTGTAAGTTGAATACAATAATTATATCATACTGTACATATTTTTATATTGTAGAGTAATTTTTCTGCTAAGTATAGTTTCATTCTGTATGTTAATCATTGTTCCAGACGTAAGTATGTCTGTTATTTCACCTTACGACATATATATATATCGAATGCAATCGATTTTAGGTTCAACCGGTAGTTCTCGGTAGTTTTTGTCTATATGAATTTTGTGTGGGTATTTATTTGCCGTCTATAAGTTTATTAAGAAGTCAATATTTGCCAGATTCAGGTAGGAATAATATATTTTCTCTCTTATTTTTAAGTTATTTTTCTATATAATTCATAGTTCGAGCAACATTAATGAACTATTTTCGTATACCTCGAGTTGCGTTAATGTTTATAGTTATAATTTGGGTGAGTATCATTAATATTTCATAAAGAATATATGCTATTTATGATCTCAATTAACAGCATCTTCCACTTGCAGTTATATTTACTTTCTGTGGTTTGATGTCAGTTTTGACATTTGTGTGTTTGTTGATATTACGTAGGTATGTAAAAAAGAAAAAAAAATTGATTTGTTTTGTGTTGATAAGATAATTTCGTTTTTTTTGTTATAGTATGAAACCACCAGAAGAATATGTCGAGCCAAGTGAGAATGTTGTTTTATTACCTCAAACACCATCGTATGATCTTAAACTGAAACAACCTCAAACGACATCAGAATATTCTGGTGGAATCGATAATAAAAGCACATCAATCAATACAGGCAATGATTAATAGCTAATGTTATTATTGTTCATATTAATGAACCTATCGAAAAAATTTTGATAGAACTTATTTTAAATAAAATTTTACCTTTTATATGTGAAACTATAACGAAAAGAAATAAGCGAACCTTTATTTATTTTTTGTAAACAGTTTTTGTGTGGAAATAAGTATCACTGAACGTTTGAAAATTACTGAGAGACATCCTAGAATAAAATAATATTTATCAGTACTTCTTCGATTAATTCTGTTCGATTTCTTCTAAGAAGAATACAATATTGTTTTAGATAAATTGTAAGTAAAACTTCTTTTACCTATAAATTATGGATCTTTAAATACATAAATGAGATTTTGTATAAATAAACATGATGCAATGATCCATGTTGTCAAAAACGATAAAAAAATCGCTATTCATCGAAATGATAATCATCCGACTAGCCACTATTTATCACCGATTGTTGTCAGTTATTTCGATGATTTTTTTCAATAAATCGTGATTGTATAGCATCTTTCCTTTGTATTGTATCAATGATCATTCCATCTAAATTCAATTTTACTATCATATTCAAAATCTCTGCTTGCTAATTATTACTAGATGCTGCTCGAGTTTCACTCCACTACGAAATACGATGCGAAGCTCGATATTGAAATCACGATTTTAAGATTTTCACAAATTTCTCATTGTTCAGAATTATAATCGAATGAACTCGAATTGATGCCAGACAAGGATGGGTGTAAATGTGAATGTGATATAGATATGATACCCACACTCACACCCATCCGAAAAAATAAAACAACAACAATTTTTTTTTCTATTTTATTCAAGACATTCAATTTTAGAATAATATGTCATTAGAAAAAAAATTAGTATAATAATTTTGAGACATTGACTATATTGGTTACTATATCTATGATATTGTTTGATCAGGACGAACTCGTTGTTCTCGATACATATTTATATACTTTTTGAAAAGAACATAGAATAGTTGTCGACGAAATCTTTTCGATACGCATGTATAAATATAGAATGGACCCTTAAAATAAAAATATAGATGATAGTCAAAATAATTTCTTCTCAAAATTGAATACCTACGGCAAAATATGCATAATATAAACATATTGTAATAGCATTAACTACATTTAATTGTGCTTTAATAATTAAATCTTGAATATTACCATAAGAAACAATAAGATACAGAATTAAATTTGGTAAAAGAGTTATAAAATTGTATACTATTTGTGTAAGAACCATGACAGTTAATTGTTTGTCTAATTCACGTCTGACAAGAGGAATTGTTCGATATGCTAATTGTTGAACATTATGATACGCCATTAGACCAAAGGAAAATGTTAATATAAAAGGTAACAAATTTCCAAGAATAAGATAATTGAAATAATTATTAAATTGTATAAAATATGTGTCGGTAACTGTACAAATGGTAGTATTTCCAACTGCACTAACGATTTTTTTCTGATCGAAGAAAATCAAACCTGGAAGTTGTTCAATAATTAAAATAAAACTGATTAACATCAGTAAACGATATGCTATTTTAATGTGACACCATTGTTGCCAACGTTCACGAGTACATGTAGCAAAATATTGATCGATAGTTGCTAACGAAATACATGAAAATGAAATAAATGAAGTTAATTGAAAAACATATATTCGAAATTTACAATAAAATAATGAAGTTTGTGTCCAATCAATAGAATAACCACCACTCATAATACGTGTTAGTAAACCTGTAATTAATTGTGCAATATTAACAATTGACATAATAGTTAAATAGAATGCACAAGAATTTTGTCGAAATGTTTCAAGACTCATAAGTACAATGATATTTAGCGTATTACCAATTAATCCAAAAATAAGAATTGGTATACCAAAATAAATAAAGATTTGTTCATAACTAATCGTAAGAGATGCAATAATTGATGATGATGATGACATTTTATTATCAAAAATGATTTTATAGAATAATAGAAGATTCTTTAATGAAATTTTTTGTATCTGAAGTGCAGTTTTTTTTCATACGCAATAACTTGACTTATATATAGTTAGTTCTTAATCATGATTATATATATATATGATATTAAAGCACGGTTAGTTCTAAGAAGATGAACGTGCACTTAATAGGAATAATGAGAACTCAAGAAGAAATAAAGATATTTTAATAAGTTTAACTTGCTTTTAAAAATAATTTCTTCTTATTATAAAGATATATATTCATGTTTTAATCTAACATGAGTAATTTCACAATGTAATCAAAATATTAATTTATGATACAAATGGATTGATATGTGTACTTAATGTTATATACGGAATATTTTCGAGAAAAATATAGATTATTTATAAGTTTTAAATAATGAAAAGAAACGAGAAAATATTTTAATGGAAGTCTTATTATATAAGATCAACCAGTATAAAAGAAAAAATTGACGTTAACGAATTTGGGCACTTAATTATCATGCTATCTTTATATTGTATATAATTATACTGAAGTATTTGGAAGTATGAATGAAAACGCTTCTAGATATAGAGTATATATAACCTTGTTTTCTTTTTTTTATCAGAGGTCATTTCTTATACTAATAAGTTCAGTGTGAAAGATAAGAGAATTATTTGACTTCAGCTAATTACAATCTGCCATAAAGTTCAAGATAATATTTGACGTAAATAAGTACTGACAAATTTTCAGAATTCATGACAAGTCACCTTATAAATATGGCATAATTGATCGGTGAATTTTGAGAAGAAGAATCATCTTCTTTATTTCAAATAGATTGTCCTGAATAGTTCTAAATTCTATTCAAGTAAATTAATTCGTGAATCTAAAACTGTATGTTAGTCAGAATTGAGTCAGACCAATAAAACCATGATTGGAATACTATTTTGTATTATCAATTAAAACAAGAATTATGTCACTTGAAGAAAATCGTATCTATCTTTATTATGATTAGTACAATATGTGTAATTACATTACGATAAATTTGAATTCATATATGCTTTTGTTTGATCATGACTTTTTTGTATAATAAATTCAAGTTATGGTCTAGTTAATCAAGAATTCGTAGTAGAATAAAGATTCAAGTCTGTTTTTATTTGATTATAGAATAGCTTTGAAAAAGGAAACAGTTGACTCCAACAGACTAAATTCGAATAGAATCATTTGAAATACTTTTTATTTCTTTATATTTTCTTCAAGCCAATTAGTGATAAATAGTATCAGTATACTATATTGAGCAGCAAAACATCGATTCGGTGGCATCGAAGGAAATGAGATGATGTTTATTGATCTGAAATTAATCAATATCACTTGACTTCATATGCACCTGTTTGACCCCGTTTGAATTCAAAAACTTCTTCAAGATCTTCATCTGTGATATTTATTATATAAATATTCATGTAGAAAAACTTTATAAACTGCATTATCTATCTTCATTGCAAAGGTGTATAGTATGTTCCAGTGGTGGATTTAGGGGGGGCAATCGCCCCCCCCCCCCTTCAAATTTTTTTTGATTTTTTACAGCAAAAATGAACGAAAAAATGGGTTCATACTACTTCGATTGGACTCAAAAAATAGCTTTTAGCCAAAATCGCCCCCC